GGGAATTTGAAAATCTTACCGATGGCATGTTAAGTTTGACAGAGGTGCTTCACAAATTTGAAGCTTTGATACCAGTTTCAAAATCAATTGAATCACAACCGAGTTGAATTATGTATGAGATGTATCTGATTTTTTTCTCTCTTTCAAATACACTGTGTCCAGGTAAAAAGATATGGGAGTTTGCAAGATTTACTAGTGATTGCACCACTAGTCATCGGAGGTCTCTTTCAGGAACCGTGTCAGATAAGAAGGATGATATTGTGGACTCATGTTCTCAGATGGTGCTCCGGCTCCAAGATGTTTATGATCCAGAGAAGGTTGGTACATCAATTCCGTTTCCAATGGTTTAGTCCTTACATGTTTCATTTCTAATACTAATCCATTCCCATCATATTTTCTTCACAGATAAAGATCAGGATAAAAATTCTCTCTGGCTCACCGAGTGGTGTTGTGGCTTCCGAAGCAAAGAGAGCTCAATCAAACTGGGTTATATTGGACAAGTAATACAGTCAATGTAACCTTAATTTCTATTATCACATGCTATAGCCTACAGTTCCTTATTTTAGGGATTGCTGTTTAGATGTTGATAGCATACAATGGCATCATATGTTGATTTCAGAATGTTAATCCTTAGGCAACACTTTTTGTGCATGAAAGCTTTTTCTCCAGAATACTGTTTGTTTCCCTTATTGCCTGTTCAAGTTATCAATTTTATTCTTGTGCAGACAATTGAAATATGAAAAGAAACACTGCATGGAAAAACTGCAATGCAATGTTGTGATTATGAAACGATCCGGGCCAAAGGTTCTTCGCTTGAATTTGATAACAAAGACAGAACCTGAAGTGCCTTACCCTTCATTGTCTGAATCAGAATATTCTCCAAAAAGTCTAAAAAGCAAGTTTGAAGAGTCGAATATGATTAGAGGGCCAACTGTGACTCCTAGAAGTAGTTTTGACCACGAGTCACCTCTGACTGCAACTGATATTGGAACATCATCCATATCAAGCTCAGATGTGGGGACTGAACGAGATTTTCTTTCCGGAATTTTGGGGAGGTTAAAGCAAGAGTATCCATCTACTATTGAAGGAAATCAGAATTTGAATGAATCTGATACCGAGACAAATAATGAAAACCAGAGTTCTTACTTCACAAGTTCATGTTGCCAGCCTTGTATGGCAGATTATCTAAGTTCTGGTGGTGAGTTTTCAAGATGTGCGGTGGAAGGTTCAGAGAGACCTTATGATAAGGCTCTGATTTCAACATATGGAGCCTTGCTGGATAAGTTAGCTAACTTGAATCGAGAACCTGATGTTGGGGTCTTGAATTATAGGCTTGATTTGAATTTAAGCAGAAGTGTACGTGAAGCAATTTCATTATCCAAAAATTCACCTCCTAACCCTCCTCCATTGTGCTCCATATGTCAGCACAAGGCTCCTGTTTTTGGAAATCCTCCTCGGTGGTTCACGTATGCGGAGCTGGAACTTGCTACAAGTGGATTTTCACAAGCAAATTTCTTGGCTGAAGGTGGATTTGGTTCTGTGCACAGAGGTGTCTTAGCACATGGTCGGGTTGTTGCTGTCAAGCAATATAAATTGGCTAGTTCTCAAGGTGATCAAGAATTTTGCTCAGAAGTTGAAGTCCTAAGCTGTGCGCAGCATCGCAATGTTGTGATGCTGATTGGGTTCTGCGTGGAGGATGGAAGAAGGTTGCTAGTTTATGAATATATATGCAATGGGTCTTTGGATTCTCATCTATACAGTAAGTTCACCTCTATCCCTGATTTTTTAATGCACAAAATGAAATGCTACTACTAATGGATCTAAGTTGCAAGCAAGCATGCTCTAGTATTTCCTTTTTACTTCAGATGAATGGCAACATTTTTGTTCGGTTTTCAAATTACATAGATTAACAGATTGAATGGGTTTACTGATCAAGAATCAGATTGTCAAACAAATGAAAAGGTTATGGTCTTGATGTTAATAAGGACCCTGTTATTTCCAGGATTCTCAGTTGGGTATCATCCTTTTGTCTAAAGTGTGGATATATACATTACCGAGAACACTCTTGCTCCACAAGTGCATTACACCTTCTTTACAAACTATAAATGCACGTATTCACTTCTGTGACCAACCAAGTTAAGGGGAATGCTAAAATTTTCAGGGCCACACAGACATCCATTAAAATGGTCTGCACGACAAAGAATTGCAGTTGGAGCAGCTCGAGGGTTGAGATACCTTCATGAAGAGTGTAGAGTGGGTTGCATTGTCCACCGTGATATGCGACCAAACAATATCCTTCTGACACATGATTTTGAACCCTTGGTATGTCATACACTCCTCATCTCTTACAAAACAAGATTCAACTTCCTACTCCCCTTCACCAGTTGTATGTTGTCTTTGATGAATCACATCTTGTATGAGTAGTGTTTCTCTTTGTGTGAAGCCGTATGTGCATTGAGGATGCAGCATTAAATTCCATACATGTATCACTCGGAGTAAATCTTACCCGGTTCTGGGTTTCAGGTTGGAGATTTTGGACTGGCAAGGTGGCAACCAGATGGAGATGTTGGGATGCAAACAAGAGTACTTGGAACATTTGGGTAAGGCCACAGGACTTGAGAAAAAACAAAAAAAAGTCTTTCTCATTATACCAAATTACAATTGACAAAGTTTAGACTAAACCAGAAACCTTGCCTTAAATGTAGTTACTTGGCTCCAGAATATGCTCAAAGTGGACAAATCACAGAAAAAGCTGATGTATATTCCTTCGGGGTAGTTCTAGTGGAGCTTATTACAGGACGGAAAGCTATGGACTTAAACAAGCCTAAAGGCCAACAGTGCCTCACTGAATGGGTAAGTATGAACAAGATAACTCTAATTTGAGATCGTGCAGTATATCAGAGATAGAACATCTGACATCTTTCTTTTTCAAAACATACTAAATAGAGTTTTGATGGAATATTGAAAATTCCGATAAATTATGTTTTACTCTCATATTGGTCATTGCTTACACTCATCTGTGTGGAGCAGGCACGGCCCTTGCTATTAAAGAACGCCATTTTCGAGCTGTTAGACCCGCGGTTAAGGAGCTGCTATTCGAATCAAGAGGTTTGTAACATGCTGCAATGTGCTTCCTTGTGCATCAGGAGAGACCCTCATTCCAGGCCTCGCATGTCCCAGGTATGAGTTGATGTCATGTCACCCTCACTCACTGCATCTTCATTTTTGCCTGAGAACTACTGAAAATTTCTTGTCCATTTGGTTCCTATAGGTGCTTCGGATTTTGGAAGGCGACGACATCCCTGCAAATTGGACAAAGCATTCTTGAAGGAAGGAGGCATTGTGAGAACAATCTGTAGACGATCCACACGATAGCTATACATTTTTGTTCCAAAAGAACAAAAGAAAGGTATTGTTATATATTCTAGTTAATTAGTTTCTGTTGTAATGTGTAGTTGTAAGAGAGGTAGATATGTCTGTCGTCAATTCCTTACGAGTTACAAGTTTACGACCATATGAATGAAGTTGATGAAATTTCATTCCATTCCTCCAGTCCCCACTCGTGTTGTTGCTACATCAAATTGAATATCTGGAGATTTTGTAGACATATAACATCGTTCCTGTTAATATAGTAATTATCAACTGAGTAATGTTCCCTTGCGTAAGAGTTTGATAATAAGATCATATTAAAGACACATTTTTCGTGAAGCCAACATGGTTGCTGATGCTTTAACCATCGTCTTGATCATACTAGTATCTGACGGGAATGGGCCTGCTTAAAACCAGGTTATCCATAATCCATACGTTTTCATATTATTATGGTATTCATTTTTTGGATTTAAATTGGAATACCCTGATTTCGATCCGATTCTTTCCAAAATTAGGATACAGATTGATCACAAGGGGTGATCCTCTGCCACTCATGACACTGATTGCCTCTGCTGTGAAGTCACCTAATGAGTATTTCTACACGTTTGTTGGTAAATTACCCACAGCTTGAGAATATTATTTTAAGGAATCATCAGATGGTTTTCCATTATTTAATATAAACGTAAAAAATAAAATCCGAGCCATAATAAAACAGAGGGGAAATTGTTTAACACTACTGTTCAATACTCATATACAAAACATATCAGAATTTCAAAAAGAAGAGAAGGCAACGGCTTTGCTTGCTTCCAAAAGCTTCACCCTAGATATAACGCAGATTACTGTAAAGAGAGAGCCAGACGACCGACATCTCTAATCCGGCTGATAAGAGCTTCAGGGGATGAAAAACATCTAGCAAAAACAGTTAAACAGCTGTGTATTATTGCCTTACTATTTATCTGCTCACCGTTAGAAATCTTCAAAAACATAAATGACGAGTTTAATAACCATGACTTGTTATAAGAAAAAATTACAGACTGCCTACAATAATATATAGATTACACATTTTCTAAGTTAGAGTGTTTGTCAGCTTGCAGTATACTTAACTTAAATCACCCAAACCCACTATGCAATACATTTGCTTCATTTTTTTTGGTCAAATTAGTATATAATTGACTAAATGAATATCTTCTAAAGTTTCATTAAAAGTTTCCATATTTTTATCACAATTTCTGTTGTTTTTATACAATTCTTACCGATATCAATACTTTCCCAATATTTCCATGTTTTGGACCATCGATATTTCCGAAACTCCCTATATTTAAGACATTGGACTCAACCTTTTGGAACCCTAAACAAGTTACTGATGTCAATTCCGCTGTAAGAATAAGATTTTATGGGGACTACTTCAATTAAAATGGACAAGGGCTGTTATTTTGTGCGCTGAGCCTTGACTTATTAAAATGAAACACTTGTGTAAAACGAGAATATCACTATTTTGTTATCCAATCACTACATGACAAACGTTATAACTTTTTCATGAGACTGTCTTTGGAGCCACCCGTATTCTTATTAAAAAAACACAACAGAAAAAAGGTGAATTTGGTGTATTATTGGCGGTAATTATAGTGCGAATGTGGTAAAAATTGGGCCAAAAAAAGTGAAAGAAGCTATAAGCCCGGGAAAGGACTGAAAGGAAAACCAGAGTACGAGTCTGAGTGAGACCACGGGACGAACACCATGTGTGCGCTGGTGAAAGTTGGCAGCAAGCGCTTAAGCTCTGTGCTGAGCAGCCTCAACTCTCTGTCCCTGCGTCGCTTCTGCAGCACACTTGCCCCTGGCTCCATTCATCCCACTGCAATCGTTCACCCCAATGCCGTTTTGGGTCAGGTACTTCATTTGCTCCACCTCACAATTCTCAACTAAAATAGCTACTTACTGATGAAACTGATAGTGTGGTTTTGGCTGTGGTGTTTTGTGATCAGGGTGTTTCAATTGGTCCCTTTTGTACTGTTGGGTCGACCGTGAAGGTTGGAAATGGCTGCCAATTATACCCGGGCAGCCATATATTCGGAAATTCAGAAATTGGGGAGCGTTGTGTTTTGATGACGTGAGTTTTGAATACATAAATTTTTTTGAAAAGTTGATAAAGGTTTCACTTTTGATTTCAAGTTTTGAACTTTGCATTGTGGTACAAAATTTGTCAGGCAGTGGCGCCGTTGTTGGTGATGATCTTCCAGGCCGAACATTGCTGGGATGTAATAATATTATTGGACACCATGCTGTGGTTGGTGTCAAATGCCAAGACTTGAAGTACAAGGTTAGTTTCAATGTTTCATTTATGCAACAAAGTCAGCAGGATACACAAAATTTTCATGACCAAATTCCCTAGTTAGTGTCTGTTTTATGATTTAGTCAGGGGATGAATGTTTCCTTGAGGTTGGGGACAACAATGACATCAGGGAGCATACATCAATCCACCGGTCTTCGAAGTCGAGTGATACAACAGTATGTGGATATGATAATTACTTTTTCATTTATACTTGTGTGTAGTGTGTTAAGTTTCATGCTCTGATACTAGTGTTTTGTGATCAGGTTATTGGGAATAATAATCTTATCATGGGTTCTTGTCATATTGCCCATGATTGCAAGATTGGAAACAACATCATTTTTGCAAATAATACCCTTTTAGCAGGCCATGTTGTGGTGGAAGTAAGCCCTTACGCTTTATTTGGATTGTGAGATTTCAAATTTCAGGATAGTGGTTGATGTTTTGTAGAAAGATATTTTCTTTCACTCCAAGAAATATATTTGAGATGCCCGTTATATTTTTTCAAATCAACAATGTTACATTCTATCTTCGCATTTCAAATCCCTTCTCTTTGCATTTCAAATGTAATTTATATACACGTCTATCCTACTTGCTTTATCTGATATATAGTCGTGTTTCAAATGTAGGATTATGCTCACACTGCAGGGGCTGTAGTTGTTCATCAGTTCTGCCATGTTGGTTCTTTCTCTTTTATTGGTGGTGGCTCCGTGGTATGACATGATCTTACTCTTTACCGTCTGTCATTATACCCTATAATTTCAATAGCTTATGTATCAAGGGAACCTGCACAATTTCTCGTCTTAAGTATAAATTTCCCACTGTGCAATATTGATTTTACATTCTTATTTTATTTGCCTGAAGATTGCACAGGATGTTCCAAAGTACATGATGGTTGCAGGAGAAAGAGCTGAACTTCGTGGTTTAAATCTTGAGGGTCTACGACGTCATGGTTTCACAGCCCAAGAGGTTTGCGTTAATTTTTTTTTATCTTAGTTGCACTTTCTACTTCCTTATGTTAAATTGAATGTCTAAAAGAGCTTTTATTCCTCTGGGCAAGGATCTAGATCAGAAGCCTGCGAACAGCTTACCAAAAAATATTCATGCCTGATGAAATTTCCAAGGGTTTCGACGAACGTCTGGCTGACATGGTATCATATTCAACCATATCCCTCACCCTCGCCATGATATAATTTTAAATCGTTGGTCAATGGAATTAAATTCATTTTGCAGGAGATGCGTGATGAATTGGCTCATATATCTGTAGTCTGTTCCATGGTGCAATCTATCCGTGACTCTTTTGAAGGAAAACGACGTGGAATATGTAAATTCAGACATTGGAATGGCTCTTAAAAACATGCAATAGGTCAGTTTCTTTATTCCACAAAACTGTTATTCTATTTTCAGAATCAAGAAAGAGAACTCTTTACAGAAAATTAAAGGTGTAAAACATCCTCTCTTTCCCCCCAATTTGAATGGTATCTAATTATATATATAATCTAAATCCCAAAGCTAACATACCATATTTTACCAATATCCATATCCATGCTTCCTAGGTACAGAAAGAGAGATTTCCCTATGAATTGTTGTAGTTAATGTGGTTTTTATTTCTTCTTTTTGCAGTGATCTAACTGCTATTGTCTTTACAAAATGGCTGGGCATGTGGACTAATTTGTTGTATGAAGACCTTGCCAGGCGGTTCGTTGTGTTGTAATGAAGATTTATATTGGGCCAGTTCTCATTGTTTGATAAAAGAATACTTTGGTGAAAGGATGTAATACAGAGAGAAGTTGCAGATGCATAACGTAGTGTGGAAGTTTTAATCTTTTCAACTTGTGGGTTGTTTCAAGGAAATTACTTGTGCAATGTCTTTAAAGTTAGAAACAAATATTTTTTAAGTTTTGTGCTTCTTGATAATGTTGACCTTGAAGCACATGCTATTTGTACAAGCAGATTGAACCTCTCCAAATTCAGAGAAAATCCTAGGAATTTGATTGTTCTGGGTTTTCAGTTACATGATGGATTTTTTATTTCTTATTTATCCTCTGTGATTACCTGAATAATGTTTGCTTCTTCGAAAAGCAAATCAATATGATATATATGTTACATGACAATCTTTGAAATTTTCTTTGTTCTTAAAGTCCGTTGGTTTCCTTCTTGATTTGAATGTTTAGAATGGCAATGAATCAATTCAAGGTCACTAGAAGGCATATTGACTTTGATTTAAAAGCTGTTGTTCTTTGTTCAAGCTTGTGATACCTTTGACTACATAATTGGTTGCTTCAGGGACTGAAACAAATCAGAGAATTTTGCAACTATTGTATACTTTTCTTCATATCTTATACTGGGGGGAATGTATATATCCACTGTAAGATACGAACAAGATTTCATATACACGACAAATTAATAATTATGTACTCCCCACTATGCACCCGAGTTTGAATCCCCCTCCTCGTAGTTTAGATTAGTTTAAAGTATAATATCGCTTGTATCAAAAAAATAATTATAATTTTCTGACGTCTAGGCTCCATATGAGCCATTCATTTTCAATTACTGATACTCAATCCACCAGCTCAGGATAAATTCCTTGTGATTGTGATTATAAGAAAAGCACTGATGAAATTGCTGACCAATTTAAATTGGCCACTCTATCAAGTACCAGGAGAATCATATGTGCTTCAATTGACTTCAATTTTCAAAACCAGAGGCTTTGTTCAAAGAATGAAAAAAACTTTTTTCAGTGCGTTCCAAATTGCTTGATTTTTCCAAGTTTCCTCATCTGCATAGTGAAGATTCTTTCTTAACTTTGACTTGGAAGCAATGACTTGAATGGCCACACCTCTTTGTATGTTTAGAAAGACACTTATTTCTAGAATCAAATCTTATTTTATTGTAGCAACAAAAATAAAAAATAAAAAATAAAAAATAAAAGTAGAAAAAATAAATTAAAAAATCTTATTTTATGTGCAATAGAATTGACAGACGTAAGTACTGATGTTCTTTGGCCTAGTGTTACAATCATTCCCTCTCCACAAATAAATAAAATAGACAACTGACAATAATATCACTTCTGTTGTGGCTGCTGATATGAGATTATTTTGAAGAAAGAAGAAAGAAGAAAGAAGAAGAAGAAAAAGAAAAGATGCTTAGTGCTTGTACATTGTATATTCCTCTACTTCATTTGTAGTTGTAGCTAATATTGGATCATGGCATGTGATGTAATCTTTAGCACTAATGGAAGATTAATTATGTATATAATATGATAATGATATGAAAATGAGATATAAAGGCATTTTGCTCTCAGTTCCTAATTAAAAAAAATTAAAGAGCAGTTGAGATCTTGGCTTTGAATATGACCCATGTCAAAACCTTGTCCATTCTTTTAACTTTTTTTTTCCAATATTTGAACTTGGAATGTGTGTTCCATCTTGCTTATCAGTGGATGCTAGTGTTTTACAACCCCCCATTCTCTTTTTCCTTTATGTTTTTTGGTTGGACTTTAGGGAAGGAACTAGACTCAAAAAGCAGTGCTATAATATATTTAAAACAAAAAATGAACTCATTTCAACTCTTGATTCATTATTCGCCTCGCATTATGATCATGATCATTTTACACCACATTACGAGCGCCTGGACAACTGATCTAAAATCAAAGCGAAAAACATCAATCATGGTCTGATACTATTGCTTCACTATACTCTACTCGTACTTTAACAATTGGTGCACCCTGTTGTTTGAAAGTTGATCATTCCCTTCTTTAGATGCAGTGGTTTTGAACTTGAGCAACTCAGGCTGATGCGTACACTTAATTATTTTATGGCCATTTATTTCTCCTCAAGTTGTTGCCTTTTGGGTTTGTGTGGGAAGCAACTGTGGGAAAAAAAAAGAATGATTTCTAATCAAATCTCTGTACCAGATTTAATATAATTATTGAACACAGGAACATGATTTAGCAAGAGACATATATGCTTTAATAATCAATCTGTACAACTTGGTACTTAAAATAAAGATTCCCTCTGAGTCCTTTTCAGATGAAGCTGAGATCTCAAGCTAACCCCCATTCTGGCAGTTTTAGCTCCATAGGCTACGACCCAAACCCACCCTACCCTTTGACAAAAGGGAACAAGTATAACAATGCAATTAAGGGAATTTAATTATAATTACTATTTAATAACATAATATATTCAACTGTCAATTATAATTATCCTCTGGTTTCATACGAGGGAAGATTCGTTTCTATAATAATGCCAAATGCAAAATGCATAAAATAAATAAATAAATAATTTGGAAGTGTTTCATGGTTCAGACATAGAAAGGACTAAATAATATTCAACTTGGCCTCCTGATATATTGGATTATTTTCTTTTTCCCAAGTTTCCAACTTGCTTAAAATCTTAATTAACAAGATGGCCCCATGATTAACATTAAGTAAGACAAAAGTAGTTGCGTGAGAGATAAATATGTCTCTAATTTATTAATTATAGATATCTCATGAGTCTGTCTCTAGATTTTGAAGTACTCGTGTATTACTTTACCAATATGGGAAAGGGAATATACTATTCTTCTCCTTTAATCAAACTGAGGATTCTATATATTTTGTGTGACAATAATTATGGTACCTTAGCTAAAGTGATTAGCCATAAATTGTGCATATAAAATAATTTAATAAAAAAATTAAGTGATATGAGTTATGTTATAAATTCAAGGATAAATAATTAGGTAAGACTTGATAATAGATTATACAGAATGATGATCAACCGTCGAATAAATACAAATTTACGTGCCAACAATATGGAAAATGGCCATGCCGATGATGATGGTAATCATAGATTTTAAGCGATTTCGATTATTTCAATGTTTGATTAGATGGTGATCATAATCAAATCATTAATTTGTACATCAATCTTTTTTGAGCATTAATTAGTCCACTGATTTGAAATGGACAATACCTTTGAAATTATTGGTATTAGGGGCATATAGTTGTTGACTTATGAAGCAAGAGCCTAACATCCTCCTTAATTTTTGGTGGAACTAACTATGAAAGTACTGAAAGATATCATATAATGTTGAACTAATTTTGGCTAACATTATTCTGTTTTCTTTTTTCCCCATTTTGGTTGTCTTATAATGATATGGTATGTTGTTTCTATGAGTTTCCTAAGAAAGTGCAACATATGGGTTGATCAATGTATCAACTTTCAAAGGAGTCTTCCTTTTCTTAGATATTTCTCACCCACCTACTTCCAAGATATTGGAAAAGATCATCCATCTTTCTCTTTTTCTTCTCTTTCACGGTACACACCATATTCAAAGAAAATACATAAGAAAACTCATTATGTACACACTGACTTAAATATGAATATAATTACTAACGAGCTTTTAGTCTAGTGATATTCCGCTCTACGGTGATTAAAAAAAAGGATACGAACATATAGCTACCTACAATTTATCTTCTTATATATAAAAGTAGTAAGTAAGTGGTGTTTAATAAAAAAGAAAAAAGAAAAAACACAAAAAGCTGAATAGTTTTCTAGAGGGTCCCCTACTCATCAATATTTGTACGTACGTAGTATATATAACTACAAACTCCAGAGGACAAAAAGCATCCTGTATAAGATAAGATTTATAATTTGTATAAAGGAAGGCAGAGAGAGGTAGGTAGTTATTCAAGTTTTGTTAATACGTTTAGAACCCAACTTGGAAAAAAAATCCATCAATAAAAAATATCCATCCAATCATCTTCTCTTGGTGTGCATCCATTTTCATAAACCTCACCCCC